CCCGCGGCCCGTGGCAAAGTGCTGGGATGTGGCAGCCCATGCCTCTGGTGTAAAGAGCATCAGCTCCACCAGGGAAGGCAGCTGAGCCAGGACTCAACCACTCGGTACGGTAGACTCCTGAATCCTGGGACCCTTGTTTGTCTACCTGAAAACACTACACGTGGGCCCCGGGTTCCCGGATGCCCTAAATGGCGTGTGAGCTGGGTTTGGGGCTTATTTATGCATTCTCATTTGGGAATTTCATTCAGAGAAGGCTGTTGTAAGTGATTGAGGAGTAAATGGGATGTGGGACTTAGAGGGAAAGTGTTTGAGAGCTTGAGTCGTTTTTAAGTTGCATGGTTTGCATTTCTGAACCGTGATTGCCCTGGACTTGTGCCCTGCGACAAACTGTTATGGGGTAAGAGGTGGGGGGGGGTAGTTAGAGAAGGAGGGAGGGCATATGCCTTTGTTTTTATCTATGTCACACGTAGTATATGTTTATGTAGATATCCTAAACGTTTATTCATGAGGCGCCCACACATCCTTAATTAAAAATGACAGTAGTTTCCATTTATATATGTTCTTGTATGTCGTTATCTTGATGTTCTTTATTTGTGGTAGCTTAGTATTGCAGTATTTCAAAACTAAGAGAAAATGCGTCCTAAAACAATTGGTATTTTGCCGGATAATTCTCAACCATGGAGAAAGAGCCAAAAGCTCACTTCATTAGCTGGAACAACTTATTCGAGCTTAATTTGTTTCTAAGAGACATACAGTGGAAAAATCCAGAAACAGCAAAGTAGTATCAAAGAGACTTGGGCAATGAATGAAAGAGTTCTTCTATCCATGCCTTGGAAAGATGGTATTAAAGTTGCTGTAGAGGACAGAACTACTTTGTAATGATAAACATATTAACCAGTGGGTTTTGTGACCTTGATACATTGAGCAGTGCCTGATTTGTGCAGTGGTTCATGACAGGCAAACATTGCATGGGAAGTGTGGTAATTTTTGGAAAAAATGTTCCCCATGTGTTTTTTTTCCTTCTTCTTCATGTCCAAGTACGATTTCAGACTGAGGCAGTCTCATGATAATATTTCCCCCCTTTTTCTTTTTCAAGATAGCATTACAAATTATAAAAATAATTCATGTTTAAGTCAGAAAACCTGAAAAACAAAGGAAGTCATAAGAAAATACCCATAATCTCACAAGCTATGGTAAGGTGCAATTTTATCTAAAGATACTTATCATTTCAGTATCTCGTTCCCTATTTATGTATTCTTTTTCTTAACAAAAATGTTCCATACTATAATAAAAATTTTTTTTATAACTATAACAAAAAAGTCTTACATACTGTGAGACTTTTATTGTATGCTTTCTTTTCACTTACAAATAGCTTATGAAAAATGTCTTGGTTTTATGAACAGGAATTTGTAGTCCCTTTGTGATCCTTTTAAAAAGTAAGTGAAATCAGGTCAGTTGTCTGTTTTGAGCCCTCTAGTAGCTGCACATCTTAAAGTAAATCTGAAGCCCTTGCTGTGGCCATGTAGGTTACCTCCCTCTCTTCACGCCCAACTTTGCCGGACAGATCTCTATGGTTCTTAAAAACTTCACGCATTAATAGACCTCAATGCCTTTGCATTTGCTGTTCCCTCCACCCAGGACTTTGGTTCTTGAATACTACCCTGGTTGACTACCTGACTTCTTCAAGTCTCTGCTTGATTGTAACCTTGTCAGACTTTCCCTAACCACTCCATAAAATAAATCCCACCCCCCTGTCCGCCTTACCCTGCCTCACCACCAATTGGTAGTGCATATTTGTTTGCTGGTTTATTGTCTCTCCCCCTCAACCCAGAAATGTGAGACGTTTTTCACTGATGTACCCTTAGGGCCCAGGACTGCACCTGGTCCACCATAGGTACTTCATATTTGTCAGTGAATGAATGCTCATTATCCTTGTGGTCTTGCTGGTAACCTTTGAGGCTCCTATAGAAGCTGTATCATGAGACAGAATAACAACCTCTTAAAAGTCAGGATATCCTTCTCCTTTCCATATCTGAGGAGAAGAACTTTACAAAGTGAGGCTTATGATCTTAAAAAGAATTGCAGTCTTGATTTAACTTGAACAATTGAGGGAAGGAACATTTTTGGCAAGTGTTACTGGCTTGCTTGCTTATGCATTATTCCTTGTGTCACACTGGAAATCTTTGGAAAGTATAAAGTGTCCCAGTTATGTTTACAGCTGTGATTCCAGTTTGGTAGTTCTTGGTGATAGTATGAGCCTCAATAGCATAGTGGGCTTTTTGTGTCAATAGATACGCAGAGATATAATTACAGCTTTAATGTGTTTTTATTCGAGAAGGAGCTGTTATATTTACTTATTTTCTAGGCAATTCTATCCTTTTCAGCTCCCTGCTTATCAGTTTGTGGAAGGCCTAGCAGATATACTAAAAATTTTATTGTGTTCTCTCTCTCTTTTAACATTTTAAAATAAATCCTTGACATTTTGAGCATTTTTACATCTCTCATATAACTCTTGAACTGTTTGAAAGTACTAGTTTCATCTTTCAGGATGAAACAACATTGGTACTAAAATGTATAATTGCATTTTCATTTAATGGAAATTTTGGAAAAATTGTATTTGTAACAAAATTTGTATAGAAGATATAATGCGAATTTATGCTTTTTTAAAGATTTTAATTTTAGTTAGTTTTTTCTTTATTTGGTGAGAGAGATTTTTGCGTGTACTTGCTGAGAGACAGAAAGCAAGAAATCATCCCCTGGGGGATGTTCACGTTGCAATCACTTCCTCTCCATTTTCTTCTCGGGATCTTGGGCATGCACACACATGTGCCCGGCATGAGTTTTAAGCCATCGTGTTTGGAACTTGAACCATGGTCGACTGTATGGGAGTCCAGCAACATAACCATTATGTCATCTGCTGGTCCCAGGTAGGCTACTTTTAATTTTAGTGAGTTTTTTAAAAAAAAAGACTTGCTTTTTGAGCTTAAGGAAAAGGATTCCTTTGAACTCAGTCCAGAGAGAGATCTTCAGAAACTTGTTTTTCTCATGTTCCAAATATATAAAACTTAAGGGAAAAAAAAATCCTAAGTGAAAATTTATTCTTTTAAAGGACTAAATGTAATGTGTTAAGAATTTATTTTATATTTGTTCCACAGGCATCTATTGAGTATGTATTCAGGAAGTTCTGAGTTTTTGTAGGTTACGTTACCACATTCAGTTTTAGGTTACCAACCTGATTTCTTATTCCTTCTTTTTTCTTGCTTGTCCTCCTCCCTTTTCCCATCATATTCACTCCCTAAGTGACCTCATCTATTCCCAGGACTTTAATAGCCCCTGGATGCAATACTCCCTTGGGGAACGCCTCACCCTTTCTCTGGTTGCAGACCTCCATTTTCAGCTACTGCCCTGTTATCTCTACTTGGCGCCTCATGGTGGTCTCAAACTTCACATGTTCAAAATTCATCTTTCAGTCTCCCACTCAAGCTCCCAAATAAATATGTATTGCTCATTCCTGACGCTTCCCTGTTTCAGTGTGGTGACTTTCCATTGTTCAGGCCGGACACTTGAAAGTTGTCCTTGATTTCTCTCCCCTTGTGTCCATCAGCATGGCCTACTGCTTTAAACTCAGAGTGTCTCACCTCCTTCCTTCTTTCCATCCTCCTAATTCAGCTATACTCTCATCTCAGCTGGATGACTGTCCCTGCCCTTTAATTGGTCATAGTAGGCCGTGATCCTACTACAGTGCAAACCAGGGCATGTCACCTCCTGCTAGTGGCCTCCCACTGCGCTTAGACTTGCACCTGCACATATTCTGAGGCATCTGCCACTGCCTTCCTCTCTGGCCTCCACTCCTGGCTCACCAGGCTTGTCCAGTTGAGCACTGTCAGCTCCTCAGACATGCCTAGTTTTCCTCTTCTTATGTCCAGGTCCTTCCCTCTGGTCGGTGCTCCTCCCCTGCACTGTCCTCAAACATTCAGTCTCAGCTCAAAGATCTCCTCCCTAGAGTGGCCTTCTCTAATCCACCCCTTTTGTAGTAGCTCCCTCCCTGTTGTGCACTATTCAGTACATGTTCATCTCTTCCTTGGCATCTCACCAAACTTCCAAGCAGCTCATTTATAATTGTTTCCTCCTTTACTGTCTACTCCTCCCAGTAGACTTAAGATCTTTGAGGGCAGAGTCAATTTGCTAATGGTAAAGTCCTGGCACCCTGCTCTGCCTAAAATACAGTAGGTTCAGGAGCTCAAAACATTTTGAATAATAATTTTTAAAAAATAATTGTTTTATTTAAATTTATTTATTTTTACTTTGACCAGAGAGGGACGGAGAGAGAGAGAGAGAGGGAAAGTGAGAAAGCAAGCCACCAGGTCTGGGACTCGAACTGCGGTCGGCCACATGGGAGTCCAGTGTCCTTAGCCATCACACCACCTGCTGGCCCCATGAACAGTTACTTTAATAGTTAACTTTTTTTAAAGACTTACTGTGAATTTGGCTTGTTGCTAATTGCATTCACACATTATATCTCAGTCTTTGGAAGAACTCAATAAGGATGATAATTATGTAACCATTTCTATTTTTTTTTTTTTTTGAGAGGTTTTTGCTATAGGGCACATGCGCTCGCCAGAAAGAGAGAGACAGACAGAAAGTGAGAACCCATCCCCCAGGGAGGATGGTCATGCCACAATCTCTTCTCCTCCATTCTCCTCTTGGGATCTTGGGCATGCGTACACATGCGCCTGGGATGAGTTTAAGCCACTGGGTCTGGGACTCAAACTGTGGTTCAACTATATGGGAGCCCAGCGACATGGCCATTACGCCAACTGATGGTCCCACCATTTCTATTTTTTAGTTGATGAAATTGAGCTTTGGCCCAGCCACAGTGGTACAGGTAGTAGGGCTCTGCTGTGTGATGCTGGGAACACATGGGATGCCCATGTTTGGAATTTGAGTTGATCTGAACATGTCAGGTGCACTCATGGGTGCCTGTGATGCTGGCTGGCTGACAGGAGGAGTGTAGTATGGCCAGACCTCCGTCAAGAGTACTACTCTCTCTCTCTACCCCTTTCTCTCTCTACACTTCTCCCTTTCCATCCATAGCTGTCTCTTT